TTTGTTTGTTTGTTTGCTGTTTAATGTCGCACTCAGCAATACATGATGTTGGTATGAAAATAAACGAGTTTGGACCAGACAAACCAGTGATTGACATCATGAGCATCGATCTATGCAATTGGCCTACGATGACATGCATCAACCAACTCGGCAAGCCTCACCACCCGATCCCGTTAGTCACTTCTTATGACAAGCACAATCGCCTTTTACGGCAAGCATGGATTGCTGAAGACCTATTCTGACCTGAATCTTCACGGGTGGATTGGCTCACTAAGCAAGGTTGATACATGTACCAAGGTGAATCATCAGGATGACTTACAATGCCTCTTACAACAAGTATGGGTTGTTGAAGACTTATTCTAACCAGGATCTTCAAGGTACCTTCAGGGGTACTCCCTTTGGGTATGATCTGATTTTAATGAGATTGACAGGGAATCAAAAGCTTGACACAATGCACCTAAGGAACTATCTGAAAAATCAAATTGAAATGTGTGAAACTTTCCCTTATGTATTTACATCAAATCATTTCCCTATGCTTAAAATTACGGAAAACATTATTGTCCATCTCTGCATAGTTTAAAACAGTCCCAATGTCACCCTAGTGAGTGAGTCCACTGTGAAACATGAATGTGTAATAACCAGGAAAAACACATAATGACTGTCTAAATCCTCAGTAATGATGGTAATGAAAAGCTGCTTGGATAAACTCTGTATCAGATTATTAACAAACTGGGTCATTAGTCATTACACTCCTACACAGGGGTTAACATAATTCCAGAACTTTACTAGACACATACAAGGGTTAATATACTTATCACTTGCTCGATATTTTATTTCACATGCTCTGATTTCAAATGATAGTATAATTTCATGCCTTGCCAACCAACACTGCAAAATCTTCGTTTTTAAAGCTGCACTCAGCAATATTCCACCTATATATAATAGTGGCCTGCAACAAGTACTTTCTTTTACATCTTTGGGTATGGTGAGGTGAGGTGAAATTGGGTTTAACGCCGCGTCCAAGATTATTGCACTTATATAGCGACGTGCATGTACGTGTGTGTATGTGTGTGTGTGTGCCTGCTTGTACTAGTCCGGACTGATGCTGATTTATAGTGCTAGCCCACTGAGATACCATGCTGCAGTTTAACATGAATACCCTATTCAGACACAGTATACTGACTCCGAGCTGACCAGTCCTTGTTTTAGCCCCTTAATGCTGGGTCATATCTGGAGATATCACTCTAGGGATGAGATCAAGCAATATCTCCTAGAAGCTAGAGTACAATGAAACTGCACCACAATGCTTTGCAGACCAATGTGATGTCATCGGCTAGCATGATGTCATAATCAAATGACATCACTAATCTCTCTGCCACTGAAGCTGGCTAGCTGTACCATTTACACTCAAGACACAGGTTATTACTGTTGACAAACTGTAAAAGTTTAAAAAATTATGTCAGATGACAAATAGAATCTCAACCTTGTGTCTTCTGACCTAAAACATATCAACACTTTGTTGATAAGATTTTATAACTCCTTGGCAACCCCGAAATTTTTAAACTTTTAACGACTCAAAAGACATGAGGGTGAGCTTCTCTATTTACCTCCCCTTTAAGAGCACAAGGAATGATATATATTGCTGTAACCATGGTAAGGTGCTTTTGGGGAACTTTGAAATAAATGCGCCAAGTGCAGAACTGATCTGACATACACCAACATGGGCCAAAAAATCTTTGTTTGTTTGTTTTGTTTGTTTGTTGTTTAATGCTGTTTAACACAGCAATATTCCAGCTATACGACGACGGTCTGTAAATAATCAAGTCTAGACCAGACAATCCAGTGATTGACATCATGAGCATCGATCCATGCAATTGGGATACAATGACATGCATCAACCTAGTCAGCAAGCCTGACCACCCGATCCCGTTAGTCGCCTCTTAAGACAATCATAGTAGCCTTTTAAGGGAAGCATGGGTTGCTGAAGACCTATTCTACCCCGGATCTTCACGGGTCCCCTGGCATGCAAATTTGAGGGGAAATTGTGATTTTGTTAAAAATTTGTAATATTTTTTAGTTCTTATTTTCTCAAAATTATAGGTATTTTAACAAATTGTTTAACATTGTATTTTAAAATTACATTCGAAACAATAATATAAAACTAAGCCTTAAAACCACTTCCTGTTTCTTGGTCCTGTTACCAGTGAAAACACAGCTTATTTCTACAAAGCCATAAAATTGGTTATTAAATTAGTTGTATATATTAACAATTTGGATATTATGGGAATGTTTACCGACATTCTAAGCAGACTTGGTGCCGAAAATCAGACTCTGAGCAGTTCCAGATTAATCCCCGAAGCCATATGCCAATGACGATCAAACTTGTAAGTATCTTCATGCCGATATAATAATTTACAACCATTATCAACGGAACACACTAAGGAAATATAACATTACAGACCCAGATAAGTCAGAGTGCTGTTTGAAACACTGAAAGTCTGAAGAAGTCCATGAAATCTACAGCTGTTACCAGGTGTTGGAACAATAGGACTTGTCAATCTCAAGTTTTATATTATCATAATTATTAAACTAGTTTTATAACAACCAACACCAGGAAGTTTATCACTTATTATCAGAGTGTGTCAGAACTGTATGACCACTATCAAGTCATATTTTAGAGTGGGTGAGTATGGTTTTATGCTGCTTTAAGCATATATCGTGACAGAGAACACCAGAAATCAGCTTCACACATTGTACCCATGTGGGGAATCCAAACCCAGGTCTTCGGCGTGATGAGTGAACACTTTAACTACAAGGCTATCCCACAACCCTCATACATTACAGGGGCGGTCGGGTAGCCTAGTGGTTAAAGCGTTCGCTCCTCACGCCGAAGACTCGGGTTCGATTCCCGACATGGGTACAATGTGTGAAGCCCATTTCTGGTGTCCCCCGCCGTGATATTGCTGGAATATTGCTAAAAGCGGCGTAAAACTATACTCACTCACTCACTCACTCATACATTACAAGGCAGACAGTGAGCGTGGCAAGGGGCCAAACAACATAACCATATCTCAGTGGTGAAGCATTAGACTAAAGTGAGGGAGGGAGTTGGCCTTAGCGCCACTTTTAACAGTATTCCAGTTATATCACAGTGTGTCAGCTTGATGTGGGAAGAAAGCTTGGTGATACAGGTCTCAGACATTTACCGCTTTGGTGGAACCAATGAGCATGGGTATGGTGCTGACAGACCTAGGAACATAATCAGGGTGAACTGAGATTCGAACCGTCAATCATAGGTTCCTGGCATTCCCAAGGGACGCAACTCTGCACAGCGAGTTGCGACACCTCAGACAACAGGGCTACTTGTGTTTCCCCTGAGGCTAAAGAAGCCGTTATAGATAACCATTTGGGGGACAATATGAAAAATGTAACATCTCACTTAATCAAGATAATCATGATAATGTCTCAAGTTGCATCTTGATTCAATAAAGAAACGTTCTCAAATTGCACTGAACTCTTTCAAGACAACATACATAACTCACTTTGCTTGTCGTAAGAGGCCACCCAACGGGGTTGGGTGGTCAAGCTTTCTGACTTGGTTGATGTATGTCATTGCATCCCAGTTGCGGGGATCGATACGCATGATGTCTATTACTGGATTGTCTGGTCCAGACTTGATTATTTACAGACTGCCGTCATATAGCTGGAATATTGCTGAGTACAGCGTTAATCAACAAATAAAACAAACACACTGAATTTTTTTTTTGCTCCCAACATATATATAAATACCTGTGAAGAGTGGTGTCCGTTGAGAAATATAGAAAACCTAACTACCATTAAACGTGTTATGCACAAATTATTGGACTTTTTTTCTGCCGCACTCATAATACTGCTTCTATTTGAGCAGATGAGGTTGACCTTCAGCTGACAAAACCGCCATTATTTGCTTGATGCTTCAGTAACCTGGAGCCACTGACAGACAAGAATGTAGAAATATTTTGACTATTTTCACGGTGATAGTTTGACATATAATTAACATGATTACGTTATTAGGATCTGTACCGAAACATCGCTTTCACAGTAGTAAAGAAGTTGTTATCCATAAATTGTCTCTACTCTGTCATCCGTCAACTCCAAAGTAAAGCTTATCAAACAATGCATAATGATATCAGACAAATAGTGTTGACAAGAAGCCTTTTCATCACAACAGACTTTGAAAAGTATCCCTTCCCATACCTGTGCCATAATTGCTGTAAAAATTCAAGTCTTGGCCAGACAATCCAGTGATTGACTTCAAGAGCATTGATCTACACAACTGAGATACGATGACATGCATCAACCAAGTCCGCGAGCCTATCCACCCAATCCTGCTATAGTCGCCTCTCACAAGCAAGGTAGCTGATGACCAATTCTAACCCACATCTTCACATAGGAGCTGCTGTCATGAGTCACTTGCTTGGCAACAGGTCAACTCACAATTGTTATTTTCATCAGCAAATCTAATCATGCTAATAAACCAGTTCTACTTTCTTTCCAAAATATGCAAGATAAACATAGGCCACATGATAAAATATTCCCCACCAAATCCAATCTGGTGTTTTAAATAACCACTTTGGTGAGACAAGAAATCCATAAAACTGTTCACATGAAAAATATCATACAAAAAAACCCAACAGTAATACGTTTTGGATATATGATATCTACATTGGTGATGATCGATGTGATGTGCGAGTTAACGCCTCGAGTACTGTCCGAAGTGTCATAAAATCCCTATGAACAATATTGACATTCTTGACGAGCTACATGGTAGACATTTTTAAAAGTGTTTGGAGTGTGACGAAAACAGTCGTCAGCGATAAATATATATTCAGACGCCTCTCAAACGCGACATTAGTGGCGAACATAAGATGGACGACGGTGGTGTCATGACACAAAACACTAACAATCACGGAAATGAAAATAACACAAACTTCATGCTGAGAACTATTTGAGACACTGACCTTAAACTCTCTCCAGAACCCATCACCGCCCGGTTCGTCCTCTTTTCCTAAATTATCAACATGGAAAATAAACTTTTTCAAACACTCCTCAATATTATCAGTCATGATGCCGTGGTTATCACAATTTGTACGACATATTTGACTCCAGGTGATCGCGTTAGGCTAGTCGTCGCACAAGGAAGTAGATCTGACACAGCCGACCGGAACGCCGTGTCACGTGACTTAGTTTGTTCGTCACTGGCGAGACTGGATTCCTCTGGCTGTGGATTGTTGACGTTGTCAAAAGAGTTTCTTTGGACACGTTTCACAACCCATGTCTTGAAGTTCGCTAGAGGAAACTATTATCAGTAAAGATCACCTGTTATTTACATGTCGATGGGCGTCTTCAGTAGGTTAAGTTATCTACCGCACTTATTAATATTATAAGTTACTTTGAAATATTTCGTTGTTTCAAATGTGACTCGATATGTCGATTGCCTCACATATTCCCTTTCGGAAATATTTCATCTTCATCTCCAACAGTTAAGTGCCATGTAAAAACACATCCCTTGTTACGCATACAGCTCCCAATACGGCGTTGTTCAGTGAGTGAGTATGGTTTTACGCCGCTTTTAGCACTATGTCGGGGGACACCAGAAATGGGCTTCACATTTTTTACCTATGTGGGGAATCGGCCCCGGCTTTCGGCGTGAGGTGTGAACACTTTACCCACAATGCTAACCCCTCTGTCCCCGTTCTCCAGTGTGTATACAGTGAGTGAGTGAGTGAGTTTGATTTTACGCCGCTTTTAGCAATATTCCAGCAATATCACGGCGGGGGACACCAGAAATAGTGTGCATACAGATAAACATGTAAATTTAAGTGGGTTTAAAAGTTGTACACCATTACACGAGAACTATGTCGTCCATTTTCATTTAACCTACATTTTTCTTTCCGACGTCTTATCAGAATAAAAAAAATATTGTTATGTGACTCCAACTGAATCAAACAGCCAACAGCCTCTGTGGGGTAATGTCGATCCAGTTTGAACTCGAACCTGAAACCTGATAGAGGCACATTGTATCTACGGATACCAACCACGAATCAGTTGGTGACAGTATCATCGCGATAGAAACATTTGTGAAAAACACTTCCTCAAAACCGCCCCGCGATTTATACATTCTGAGACCCCAAATGAATGGCTTTGTTACTGACCAACACGCTGTAAAGTAAAGGATGAATAGAACCTTCTCTCTATATATGAGTGAGTGAGTATTGTTTTACGCCGCTTTTAGCAATATTTCAGGAATATCATGGCGGGGGACACCAGAAATGGGCTTCACACATTGTACCCATGTCGGGAATCGAACCCGGGTCTTCGGCGTGACGAGCGAACGCTTTAACCAGTAGGCTACCCGACCGCCCTCTCTATATATGAACTAAGATAGTTGTGTTGACACCCAATTCTGGGTGCATATCACACGCACGGAAGAAAGGACGCCCGCACGCCCGCACACACTGCCGAAATGAAGTCTTACCTATCGCCATTAATCTTTCTGCAGGCACGCTCATTATCGTGAATATCCCAACGGAGGGACAAATGAAAGTATACCGAATTTGTTTTTTTATGTATTTTTTTAATGAAAATTTAAAGAACTCTTATTAAATTTGATAATGTTTATTTAACCATCACTCATTCCTGCAACACTTTGTGAAAAGTAATCTGTGGCGGGTGATTTTGTGTAAAAATAAATTGCTTCAATGAAGGCTGGGGTAAAAAATGAATTTACAACCACATGACCACATGTTTGAAATCTTGTAGGGGGCACGGGTGGCCCAGTCGTCTAAGGCGCCGCAATTCGCTGTGCAGAGTTGCGTCCCTTGGGCACGCCAGAAACCTATGATTGTGGGTTCGAATCCCGGTTCGCCCTGATTATGTTTCTAGGTTTGTCAGCACCATACCCGTGCTCGTGGGTTTCACCGAAGTGGTAAACGTCTGAGGCCTGCATCACTTCGGGCTTTCCTCCCACATTAAGCTGACACGCCGTGATATAACTTGAATACTGTTAAAAGCGGCGTTAAACCCAACTCACTCACTCACTCACTGAAATCTTGTAAATGTGTAAAATGGTAAAACCTAAGACATCTCAGATACCCATCAGCAATTTATAAGTTTTAAACCAAATAATACATTAACAAATAAAACCACGTAGAAGTATGCTTTGAGTGCTGACTTACGCCAGAACAGTTCATGTTCTAGATATAATAGTCCCAGCCCTTGCACAAAGGAATCTGGCACTATTGTACCTGAAATACGTTCACAACACTATCTTACGCCCTCGATTATCCAGTATTTTACTTCCCCATTCCAATATGATCATGGGCCCATACGCTGCATTAGCCTCGTGTTTGGGCCGATTCAAATTATATGAGCTGATATTAAGTTAGAGATAGGGCCGAGAGATAGGAATCGTAACGTCGAAGCTATGGCCGTGAATGGCCCGAGAGTCTTTATCTAAATAGAGTGAGTGAGTGAGTTGAGCTTAACGCCGCTTTTAACAGTATTCCAGTTATATCGCGGCGTGTCAGCTTAATGTGGGAGGAAAGCCCGAAGTGATGCAGGTCTTAGACGTTTACCACTTCGATGAAACCCACGAGCACGGGTCTAAATAGAAAGGAGACGCAATACACTAGCTGGGTAATCGAGGATGGGTCCTGACTCGCTGACAAAAACATGACCTGTCGCTTTTATTATATGTCTAAGATAACTAAGATACTGGAATATGGTTTAGTATTACGTATGAAAATGGAAATGAGTGCATGAGGATTAACGCCAATTTGAACAGTATTCCAGTTATATCACGACGTGTCTTCTTGGTGTGGGGAAAGCACAAAGTGCAGATGCTGGTCTCAGACGTTTACCACTTCGGTGAAACCCACGAGCACGGGAATGGTGCTCACAAACCTAGAAACACGATAGTGGCGGACCGGGAATACAACACACGATCATAGGTTTCTGGGACACCCAAGCGATGCAACTCTGCAGCGGCGCCTGAGACGACTGGGCCATGCCGCGATATAACTGGAATACTGTTAAAAGCGGCGTAAACCCAACTCACTCACTCACTCAGCCAACTGATAAGAACGAGATTGTTTTGTGTTCGTCACCCTGATTTTACTGCATGTTTTTCTCTAGTGAGAACGAGGACTGTATACATGACGCCTGACTCAACATTTCTCAGGGTACCGACGTGAATATATGTGGTTGTTGCTTTAGGTGTTTAGAGATCGCCTTCTGCCTTTGGCCTCGATTATCCAGACTGGTATATTATATCTCCATTCTATTATGATCATGGGCCCACACGCTATATAAACTTGGTTCTGGGCCCGATTCAAATTATATGAGCGAGATAAAGACTGTGTTAAGTAATGGGGCCGAGAGACTGGGTGGGGACGTCGAAGCTATGGCCGTGAACCGGTCGAGAGTATTTACCATCGTAGATAGGAGACGTAATACACAAGCTGGGTAATCGAGGATGGGCCTTGACTCACTGACAAAACACATGCATGACTTGTCGCTTTTATTATTTATTATTATTTAGAAAATGGCGACACAAACGATTAATGTGACGTGGTTCCAACAGTAAAGTAACTGACCTTATGTTCCCACTTTCCATAAGGAAAGCCACATCATATCAGAAAGAAACTATGGGTAATATAAAGAATATCCTACTCGCAGCTCGGAATCACGAATGACGTGTCCCTTGTGAATGAGGCCGCTTCAAACGACAAACTTAATGTTGAAATTGTCGGTACCTCATCATGGCTTGGTGTGAGTGAGTAAAAAGGTTTTTACGCCGCTTTTAGTAATAATCCAGCAATATCACGGCGGGGACACTAGATGAAAGGCTTCACATATTGTGACCATGGGTGGAATCGAAACCGGTCTTCGGCGTGACGAGTGAACGCTTTAACCACTGGGTTACACACCCCTGTGTCTCGTGCCGCGTGATATAAAGGTGAAAATATGCCCTTCTCAACAGACACGAGACTCACAGCTTTAATCCACTCGTGGCAGATAAAGGTGAATAATAATTGCTGCTATGTTATTCTCTATAAATTTGCACGTATTACTTCGGGGCGCTGGGAGACCGCCTCCGTGGTCTTGTGGTAGAGCGTCCGCCCGGAGAACGGACGGTCCGGGGTACGATCCCCGGCCGCGTCATACCAAAAGACGTTGAAAGATGGTACTTGTTGTTACCCTGTCTAGCGCTCGGCATTAAGGGGCTAAAACAAGGACTGGTCGGCTCGGAGTATACTGCGTCTGAGTGGGGTATTCATGTTAAACCGCGGCATGGTATCTCAGTGAGCTAGCACTATAAATCGGCATCAGTCCGGACTAGTACAAGCAGGCACACACACACGAACATGCACGTCGCTATATAAGTGCAATAATCTTGGACGCGACGTTAAACCACATTTCATCTCATCTCATCCCATCGGGGCGCTGGGGTAGCCTGGTGGTTAAAGCGTTTTTCCGTCACATCAAAGGTCCCTGCACAGGTACAATGTGTGCAGTCCATTACTGGTGTCTCCTGTCGTCTCTAACTGGAATACCTACTGAAGCGGCTTAAAACACTAGACACTCACCCACTCTCTGTATAACGTCAACAATTATATATACATTATATTACCATTGGTGTCTGTACTACGACAACAATGATGCCTCCATTACGTTAAAAACGGTGCGTATATTACATCAACAGTCTGTATTACGCCAACAATGGCTTCACAAACGTGCTTGTCAAATACCACAGGATCAGCTCAGTTTTCATACCAGGGTAAATTTAATTCTTTTAAATATAATTTTTATTTCATTTTGTTTACGATACCAACAACAAACGCCTATGGTGCACGCGTGGAACGAACCTATGACGTTAATCATGGACTTTACGGTATCGATGTTTTACACACGTGAGAACATCAAACATTTCGTCTTAATTCGACCTGAGTAGCGACATACACTTCACAAGCTTATCAACATTCCTTAAAGCCACATCAAAGTTCGATCTGTCATGTTCAATGATGAACATTGCTGAACAGTTAGTGAGTGACCTTTTGCTTAGGGTCCTGTTGATTCACTAATCACTCACTGTGACATGTGAAATATACACACGCCGTTGAAACTGACAACCTAATCAGCTGACTGTCATAACCAAGATGTATCAGTCAGTGCAT